GAGAGAGAGAGAGAGAGAGAGAGAGAGAGAATCTGTGGGCATGTATGTTCCATGGCATATGTGTGGAAGCCAGAGGACAATTTTCATGATTTGGTTCTCTCCTTCTAAGATGTGGTTCCTGTGAATTAAAATCAGGTTGACAGGCTTAATAGCTGGTGCCTTTACATGATAAGCCATCTTGATGGCCCCTGTGTATCATATACACTTTTTGTTCATAATTTCTCTATAAATGCTTTCTCTAGTGTTTATGTTTTATCTGTGTTCCACTTTGAGCCCTTTTTCATTTCCTCTGTGTACATTATTCAGTTACGTGCTTTGTGGTTCTCATAATGACTCCTACTTTGCATAACAGCACATAACCTCCCTTCCTATATAGTGTAGCTTCATTAACTATTACCCATATGTGTGTGATTATGTATCATTTGCCTTTCTGTATGTGGTTTATTAGACATAATATTCTCCAGTTTCATTCCTGTTCTCACAGATTATGGAATGTCAACCTTTTATGCTAGAAGCTATTCCTTGGTGCCTGTATACTATATTTCATTACCCATTCATTATTCCTTATCAGTTGATAGGCACTTAAGTTTTTGGCTGTAGTAAGTAAGGCTGCAATAAACATAGGAGAGCAGATGTGTATTTTACTTTATTTTATTTTTCATCAAATTTCTTTTTCTTGCACATGTACACAATGCATACTGACTGACTGTTGTCATCCTCCACTTCCCCATCATACCTGACAACCTCTCCTCCACAAATCTCTCTCACACACTGAAGAATATCTAGTTTGCTGGGGGGGTTTTTGTTCCACTGGGATTAATCAATGCTGTCTTTGTGACCATCCACTGGAGCCTGATGAACTCAGCAGTGGGTACATTTATTAGTTACTTTTATTTTGATCTGATAAAACACCATGACAAAAAGTGAGCTATAGGAGAAAGAGTTCCTTTTTATTTGTGGTTCCAGAGGGATCAGAATCCATGATGGCATGGTAGCAGAAGCAGGAAGCTGAGAGATCACATCTCAAACAAAAGCATGAAGCAAAGAGAGTGAACTGGAGGTGGGGCAAGGCTTTAAATTCTCAAAGCCCATCCCCCAGACACATACTTCCTCCAGCAAGGCCACACCTCCTAAACCTCTACAAACAGGGCCACCAATGTGCAATGAGATTAGCCAGACTTGAAATCTGTATATCTCACTGAACTTTTATATGGCTAGAATTGTCATTCTGAAGTCACTATCAATTACACTTCCACTATTGGTTACAATTTATGCACTTATCTACCTACCACAAAAAAGCCACAACAGAGTTAAGACTGTGTATACAATTAACTTTATATGCTCTTTCACAACTCTTGTGTCCTTTACCTTCATGCTGTCCTTCCTCATCACCTAATATCTATCCTTTCTTGATCTCTTTCTACATGCATATATACTGTACCCACATGTACATTTGTTTACAAACACACACATATATGTAATATATAAATGTATATCATATATAATATATATATATAGTATAAGCTAGGACTTGCATATAAGGAAGAATATGCAAGTTTTTTCTTTTGAAGACTGTGTGACCTTAATATTATACGTTTAAAATCCATTCACTTCCCTGCAAATTTTACATTTAATTTTTCTTTATAACTGAGTAGTATTCCATTTTATATATGTGCCAGATTTTCATTGTTTATTCATCTGCTGATGGACAACTAAGTTGGTTTCACTTCTTTGTTATGGTAAAAAAAAAATCAGCAATAAACATGATGACGAAAATACCATGCCCAGGAGTGTAATAGTTGGGTCATATGGTAATTCTGTTTTAATTGTTGGGGGGGGGTCCAAACTCATTCTGTAATGGCTTTATCAATTTGAACTGTCACCAGCAGTTAATAATGGATTTATCTTTCCCTGCAGTCTCTCCAATGCTTTTTGTCAGGTTTCTCTTTTAAATTATTATCTCCATTTTATTTAATTTTTTTTCTATTTTTTATTTCTTTTATTTTTCTTTATGATCCTTACATGAATACATACTATAAACTGCCAATCAACAAATGAGGCAATGAGTTGAATACACAGCTCTTTTTTTCTTTTGTTTTGTTTTTTCGAGACAGGGTTTCTCTGTGTAGTTTTGATTCCTGCCCTGGATATTACTCTGTAGACCAGGCTGGCCTCGAACTCACAGAGATCCGCCTGGCTCTGCCTCCCAAGTGCTGGGATTCAAGGCATGTGCCACCGCTGCATGGCTAATACACAGCTTTTTAAAAGCCCACAAATGGCCAATATTTTAAAGTGTTCAGTATCCCTAGCCATCAGGGAAATGTAAATTAAAACTACTTTACGATATCACCCCATCCCAGTCAGAATGGCTATCAATGAGAAATCTAGTTAAGGGCCTAAGGGGTGGGGAAAAGAAGGAGGCCTAGAGAGCGTTAGATAAATACAACCTTGGGCTGGAGAAATAGCTTAGCAGGTAAGAAGAGCACAGGCTGCTCATCTAGAGGACCCAGGTTCAATTCTCAACACCAACATCACAGCTTAGAACCATCAGTTATAACAAGTCTTTCTCTGTCCCGCCAGCCAGCTCCCAAATAACGACACAGAGACATATTATTAATTAGGAAAGATTGGCCTTTAGGTTAGGCTTGTTTTTAACTAGCTCTTATAACTTAAATTAACCCACATTTTTATTAATCTATGTTCTGTTATGTGACATGATCTTTCTTCTGTCTTGCACCTCCTGTTTCCTCTCTGTGTCTCCTGGCATCTCCCTTGTGTCTATATTTCCCTTCTCTTCCTTTCTCTCCCTGAAAATCCCACCTATACCTCTTGCCTGGCTATTGGACATTCAACTTTTTACTATACCAACCACAGCAATACGTCTTCACACATTATACAAATATCCCACAACAATCAGTAACTCCAGATCCATAAGATCCAATATCGTCTTTTGGCCTCCACAGGCATATCCACGGTGCACGGACATACATGCAGGCAAAACACTCACAGCACATAAAATAAAATAAAATTAAGAAATAAAAAATTATAAATATAGCCATTTAGTCCCTTTAGTGCTGCTTGTATTTATGTATTTTTAGAGTTGGCCATTTGGTATTGGATAGCCATTTAGGGGCTCATTCATCTAGGGGTGAGGCCTTGTAAGAGTTCCGCCATCTGTGCTGGCATGCCAACTGATGATGTCACTGTCTGGGACATAAAATAATATAATTACTGTGTTTTTTTAAACATCCCCAGTGTTAATTATCCCTCTTCCCTCCATTCCATTTGTATTGCTCTCTCTTATCCAATCCCCAGTTAAATCCCCCACTCCATTTTCCCCATTTCCCCATTATAATACCAGTGACTTGCTATTTCCCTCTCTAGACCCACTTCCTTCCCCCACTTCTTGGTCCCTTAACCTTACATGCCAATCAACAAGAATCACAATGCATTTTGATATCATAGGAAGAACTGCAGAGTCTCAGGGTCTCTTGGGAAGACAAAATGCTGACTACCTGCTTCTGCTTCATGTGTTGATGTGTGCATTTCCAGAGATTATGGATCAAAGTGAGCCAGGAAATGAGGAGGTCTGAGGGAGCGCCTCATACCACCTCCACCTCTCCCTAGCCCAAGAGGTGGCAATTTCCGTGCAGACCCCATTTAATCAGGCCTCCAGCTGCCAAGTGCAAACTCTTGTCAGTGCTTATAGCAAAGAGGGCATGAGCATCTGGTGCCTTTTAGTTGTCAGGGAGAAAGAAACAGCAATAAGCACTCAGTGAAATGATTGAAAGGACTGTTTGCTCTGGGGCCTTCTTTCCGCTCCTGTGACTTTCCCAGTCCCTGATGAGGCTGCAAAAGTCCCATCTATAGGGAAAAAAACTCCATAATGTAAATAAATGGAAAGTCAAGCTTCCAAACACGCTTTGCTGAAGCTGCCCACAGGATGCATTTGAATCTCCTTTTCACGTGCTTTGTTATTTGACTTAATAGGAACTAAACTCTGTACATAGCTTAGTAAATGTACTGTATACATAAACCCAAACTGTTAAATATGTACTTAGCTTATGCCATGGAAATTAGTTAGTAAAAAGGGGAAAAATAAATATGGAGACTCAAACCCACACACCCTGATAGGGCTATCTTCTCACTGTGGGTTCACTTCCCCTGCATCTACAAAATGCTTTCATGTATATTGTTATTAGTCAATATTGATTCATCTAATGGTTTTAGATGTGCCTATTTATATAGTTTTAGTGACGTTATAATATACACATAGCATAGCTTATCCTAAGATTCTGGTACCATTTTATCAATGCATGTCAACTTTAAACTTCTTACCACCCTTTGCATTGCTGTGTTCTCCTTGACTATAAAGTCACCATCTCAATACTTCCTCTCCACATATCTAGAAAACATCAGCTAGCATTGCATTGTAAGTTTTGTCTCAACCATTAAACACGATAGAGATAATTCTAGAAGAGAAGAAGTCTGTTGGCTTGTTCATGTCTGTTTGCTGTACCCATAGTTGCTTTCCTTTTTGAAAAGATGACTTCCTTTGTATGTGAGAAAATTCTATCATGCCTTTTAAGAACAAATTTTGTGTGTGTGTGTGTGTGTGTGTGTGTGTCTGTGTGTGTGTGTGCGAACTTTTTCCATGGCATACATATACAGATCAGAGAAAATTTGCAGAAGTCAATTCTCTCCTTCCACTATGTGGCTTGAACTCATGTCTTCAGGCTTGGTGGCAAATGCCTCTACTCACTGAGCCATATTGCAGACCTTTGACCATTCTTTTAGGGTAGAGGTGTTAGTGAGTAATTTTCTTAGTTTTCTTTCATCTAATGCTTCTGTTAATAGCTGAAAAATATTGGGGTCAGATATGGGCTTGTGAATTTGAATTTGCAATGTTTTTCTCTTGCCCTTTGAAATGGTACAGCATTTTTTTTAAGATTTATTTATGTATTATGTATACAGTGTTCTGTCTGCATGTATCCCTGCAGGCCAGAAGAGGGCACCAGATCTCATTACGGATGGTTTTGAGCCACCATGTGGTTGGTGGGAATTGAACTCGGGACCTCTGGAAGAGCAGCCAGTGCTCTTAACCACTGAGCCATCTCTCCAGCCTGGTACAGCATTTCTTTATGACATCTGTGTCTTCGGTCGAGAACAGCTGCTGTCACTGAGTCAGCTTTTCCATATAGGTAACATTTTACTTCGTTCTCAGTGATCTCAAGACAGTTTTTGTCTGGTTTTCAGATATTTCACTATGCTGTGTCTTGACTATAATTATTCGGGATTATTTTCATATGGAATTATTATTGAATATAGGGGCTTATGGCCCCTCTCAAACTTGAGGCATTGTCAGGAATTGCTTTTTTCAAGTACATTCAAGCCATTTTCTCTTTCTATTTTTTGGTCCTCCAGTTTCCCAAAGATTTATTTTTCATGTTCAGTCATGTTTACCTCTGTTGTTCAGACTAATTTCTATTCATTTATCCCCAGTTTCAGGAAATCTTTTCTCCTCTCTCTTCTGATGCTTTATTCTACTTCTAATTTCAGTTTACTGTATTTTGCACCTTGCCTTTGCTGGAAAGGAGGGAACCATTGTTTTTCAGTGATGTTTGTCTTAAGAAAAGCAATTATGCCAGGCAGTGGTGGTGCATGCCTTTAATCCCAGCACTCAGGAGGCAGAGGCAGGTGGATCTCTGTGAGTTCAAGGCTAGCCTGGGCTACAGAGTGAGTTCCAGGACAGGCACCAAAGCTACACAGAGAAACCCTGTCTAGAAAGAAAGAAAGAAAGAAAGAAAGAAAGAAAGAAAGAAAGAAAGAAAGAAAGAAAGAAAGAAAGAAAGAAAG